GAAGTGGACGTAGAGGCGCCGAAGTTTCCGCTAACGCCGGTAAGTATTTGTGAAGACTATGGATTGACCCCATGAACGATTTCAACTGAGAGAGAGTTTTCGGGGCGGTTAATTTGTCAATTGGATCTGTTTTCCGCACCATTGGTGTAATCCCTGATTTCGTAATCCGGTGGCCTAACCACTCGCAAGTATTTTTCGCAAATTGACATTTTTCTAGCTTCAAAGCCATATTTTCTTTATCGAGTTTCATTAAAATCTTCTCCACTAAAGCGATATGTTCGATCTTGGTACCTTTCGAAATTACTAATATATCATCAATGAAAGCATGCGCGCACGGAAATAAATTCAGCCAGAATGGCATCCATGACCCGTTGAAATTCCGCCGGCATGGTTGTCAATCCGTAGAATCCTGTTTTGAATCGATATGTACCGGTAGAACGGCCTCCCACCAATGAAAAATTGCAATGTTTACTAGTGTTTTCATTTAAAGGAAGTTGACCGTATGCGTACGTGAGGTCCATCGTTGTAAAAAAAACATCCCCCTGTTTGCGTTCGCTGATAGTTTGCCCTACGATGTCCATTAGTTCTTCAATATTGGGCATTTGGTATTTATTCTTATGCACTTGTTTGTTTAGTTCTCTAGATTCCAGTGCAAGTTTAACAGAACCGTCCTTTTTCACGGTGATGACAATAGGTGAAACAAAGTATTTGTCTGAACATTCTTCCAACTTTTGGATATGACCCTGTCCCAACAGTTTTTCAATCTCCTTATCGACTTTTTCCTGTAACGTTATAGGTACTCGCCTACCTTTTTGTTGAATTGGAGTTAGGTTTTTGAAGAAATCTGCCTGCACCTTATAATTTCGAATGCGCCCTACCCTGTGAAAAAGATGTTGAAATTGCTTACAGAAATGTGTCTGCCACTCATCCAGGTCATTGTCCATCGCCACAGTTCCTTCCGTGGTATGTATGCTTTTCACCCCTTCTGTCGATGGTGCTTGTACCAGCATCAGTCCTAGTGAGGGCATTAAATCCTTGCCAATAATAGACGGTCGGCACCCTCCGATGACGTTTATATCCGACGAACAAGTCCATCCATTGGAATGAAGCGTGACTTGCATCTTGCCCAGAAATTTTAACGGATTGTTTCCGTAATCGCGGAATTGGTCGTCTTGTGGATTCAGCGGTTTCAATTGTACGTTCACTGTCCCCAGGGTACGTTTTAGTTCCCCAATAGTGAAGATGGATATTGGCGAACCACTGTCAATCCAGGCCTGAGTTGCTTTGCCGTTGATTCTTAAGGCTAGTTTGGCCCCCGCGACTTTTAATTCCGTCTCCTCCTTTCGCCGAATTGACATAACCACATACTCCGTCGAACTATCCGAATCCCATCCATGTGCCGGTGTCTTTGAATCAGTCACCCATCCGACAGAACTTCCGTAATTGGATGCACTCTCCTCCGGATAATCTTGGGTAGTCCCGCCATTGGTGTCATCCTCATTTATCATGCCTACGCGACCCCTATTCGCCGATCGACGTCCTCTACAAGTTCGCTCATAGTGTCCCATTTTCTTGCAAAAATTGCAGGTTACATTTCTTGCTGGGCACTTTGGAATGTGGTCCGGGGTAAAACCACTCTGGTCGCAATTGTAGCACTTGCGATCTGCTGCTCCTCCGCGGCCCCTTGTGCCGCCCCTGCCAAATCCACGTCCGCCTCTTTGGAATGGACGACGGTACCCTCCTCTAATTGCGCTTATAGGCTCCGCTTTAATTTGTAGTGAACCCGCTGGTGCCGCAGTAAGTCCCCCACCGGATACTTTATACGACTTTGCGTATTTGTCCCCCCGTTCATATGACAAAGCAATCCGGTAGACCTCATCTGGTGTCTTAGTTGAACGGCATAGCTCCGTTTGGGCTTCCTTGTTGGACATATTTACTATGAATACATCACGTAACACCCGTCGTTCCAATGTTCCCAATGAGCATCTAGCGGCTAGTCCACTCAAAACGGAGTGAAATTCTTCTAGCGTTTCCCCGTCACGTTGTTTTCGAGATAGTAGCTGGTACGTCTCGAATGTTTCGTTTCTTTCCTTGCGGAAAACACTCTCAAATTCATCCAAGACCCGTGGATATCGGGTAGTCGCCAGGTCCAGATGGGGCTTCCGGTTATGTAATTCGTCCTGTCCACGTTCCCCCAAACACAAATAGAGGTTAGAAATTAGTGTCTGCTCTGCTTCCACTCGATTTTTCCCATTCACCTCCTCTGGCAGACCGGTAATTTGCGCCTCAGTGAGCGTATTAGCAAAATAAAATGCCGTCGGATTGAATGAATGTTTTGCTATTACACCCCAGGTGAATCGTGTAATCCAATGCTCCCACAACATTGGTGCTTCCGTACATTTACTCGGCCAAAATGCCGTAATTCCCAGTGGATTTTTTCCTGATCCCGCGCTTTGTCCTGCTTGCTGCGCCATGTGAAAATTGTAGGTTCAATATCTTTAATTCACTGAACTAAGATTGACTCGTTTATTCTTTAACGGTTAACAACAGTGAATCCAAACATCGCAGACTAAACTTAAGGTTGACAGGTATTAATTAATTAGTAGCCGCACCAGACACATAGCTAACCAATGGCGCCAACACGTAATATATGATTAGATACTATATATGACAGGGACTCATAAAACGAAGGAGAATTTTATCAAAACCGAAAACAAAGGGAAACAAAAATTCAAAGCCGGCAGAACAATTAGACATGTATAAGGTGGGTGATCGAAAACGTTTTAATCAAAAAATTGTAGAGAAAAAAATATTGGATAAGGCCAGCAGAAACTGTTGCTTGTGATAATGAAACGCTCATCTGTACACACGGAAAAAGGTTAATAAACGCTCACTATTTGAAAATAAGCCTGAAATTGACGGAGAAGGTGAAAAAAAGTGTCGTCGGATGCTTCTGCATTTGTACTGTAACCCCAGTAGCTAAGAGGGCAGGCAGGATGCCGAGAGCGTAGCCTGCAACACAGTAAGAAGCGAAAAAAAAACAGTGTTCTCAATGCATCAGAGAGAGATTTGATGAAAAAAGAATCGGCTAATTTGAACATCGACCGAATTGGTACGATGTACATCGATCGAAAGGACGGGTAAAAGCAGAAGCTATCAGATAAATCCAACCAAGAGAAGAAAAAGACAAAAATGGAAATGTGACTAAGGACAAATTGAAAAAAAAAGTGGCGAGGGAGAATGAGTAGAAGAAAAATCAGGCGAAAGTGGCAACGAATGCGAAGACGGATATCCGGCAGAGAGATGACTGAGAAGAAAAAGGATCAGAAGCAAATGGAGGAGAGGACAAGATGTGAAGCCTAAAATGGTAGCGGTGAGTCAATCAAGAATCGGGAGATTCCGGAACGATGAAGAGATGCCAAGTAGCGGAGAGCAGAGCCAAGGTCGATACTGAAAAAACCAGAATGAACTAATTAAGGTAGTAGATGTCACGGCGAGAACGAGAGTGCCTAAAGACCACAGGTATGGATAACATCTCGAATAACAAAATAGCGCGGCAAAAACGCAGGACAGTGGAACTGAAATGAAACGGGAAACGATTGAAGAAAAGTCAGAGGATAACGCTGAATGTAGCATGATATAGATTATTTCATCGTAACAAACTTGGCTGAGAGCATGTCTAAACGTTTGACTTTCAGGGTATCTAGTAACAGCGATAACACACGCGATCTGGAAGAACCCAAGCAACATCAATGAGAATTCACTGGTTACACAGTTGTTTTCTCAAGCTATCATCATTGCATTCTTTTATAAGCTATGATTCTATGTGGAAACATTTTGGCGAAATAAGAGATTTTTATTGGATAAATTTAACAATCCCCACCTCGAGAGATGAGCAGATTCATCAGTAAAGTTATAGATTATGTAGTAGATTAGATATTATAGTGGAGGTTGTTGATTAGATTCTTTTACCGATTGTAATTGTTTTTTTTTGTGGTGACTACATCAATTAGAATAAAATTATTGTTCAGACCACCCGGGTAGAGATCCCGCTCAAAAACCGCTCTAGATATGCGCGGTTTGAGCGGTTTTCCAGCAAGATTTGAGCGGTTTGAGCAATTTGGGCGTTTTTTTTTTTGGAAAAACCGCTCAAACCACTCGAATTTTTCTTAAAAAACCGCTCATTTTTTGCGGTGGTTTTTGAACGGGTTTTCAAGCAAGATTTGAGCGGTTTTTAAGCAATTTTGAGCGGTCTTATAAAGAAAACTGGTTAAAACCATCAAAAGGCCTGGAAAGGTAATGTGACGCTAAGATGCAGTTGAAGTACTATCTACAATTTAAAAAAAGTGCTTAACCGTTCTAAATTCAAGCAAGATATTTTCAATTTCTAAACCTGTAAAAAAACCGCTCAAAAACCGGTCAAAAAAAACCGCTCAAAAACTTTTGAGCGTTTTTTTTTCACAGGTCTAGACATCAAACAATATCTTGCTTGAGTTGAGAACGGTTAAGCACACTTTTTTAATTGTAGATAGTACTTCAACTGCATCTTAGCGTCACATTACCTTTCCAGGCCTTTTGATGTTTTAATCGGTTTTCTTATAAGACCGTTCAAATCTTGCGCGGTTTCTTAGATAAATCGTTCAAAAACCGCTCAAACCGCACATTTTTAAGCAAGATTATTAGCACAATCCGCTCAAATTTGAAGCAAAACGCTCAAACGGCTCAAATCTTGCTTCAAATTAGGTGAAAAATCTCGACTGGCAATGAAAATGGGGAGGAACTTTGTATTCGGGTGTTTTGATTTTTTCTTTTACAACTTTTTTGTTTTCCCTGCAAAATCAGATGCCACGAATAATCATCGGACAGTGTCGAGTAATGTTTCATACAAAAGCTTTTTTAGTCGTTATTTTAATTACTTTTAAAGATTCTAAAAAGTTTTTTTAGTGTTGAGAAAAACCGTTTTGAATATTTTGATTTTTCTTCTATTTTCAAGCGAGCAAAGCAATCGAGCAACGTTTGTTATCTACAAAATTTAGCAGTATAGGCTAAAAAACTTGGCTTTCTTAAAAAGAAGGCAAATTTTAGAGGCTTCAGTTAGCTCCTCTGTGGCGAAAAAATAATTTTTTCTTGTTTTTTGTTTTTATTGTAAAATTGCTGCGGAGGTGGTCAGAAATTTCTGGGCCACTTGCACAGTAACCGGCTATCCTAGTTATTCCTTTGGAAATGTCACAGTTGTTATTGATTATAGATGCTTTAAGAGCTTAAGTTGGTAATTGAAATCATTTTTTTTGGAAAACTGTTCATTATCATCAAATATAGTCTGTTACTTAAGCCCGAACTTGGATGCGGATACTGATAAAAACAGTGGCAAATCATTCCATGATTACAGCACTTTCGATGCCCATTGCAATGTATGAATGGAGGAAATTGGACCAGGTATTCAGATGTTTGGAGGCCACGGCTGCCAGTGAGCACATGATGCAGTTACCTAGATAGGCAAGCAGAACTGCCAGAACAGATAAATTATTGGTCGAGGAGGAGGAGGAGGAGGATGAGGATAGGGGGCAGCCTTGAGTCTGCCGGTTCTGGTCTTCATTTCCATCCACAGCTGGCCAGCAGTCCGGCTGCGTATTTGAGGTGAAATGTCTCCTTAGGCGGATGAGAGTGAAGGAGGTGAAGAGAGTTGGCATTAGAAGAGAGAGCACAATGTTTGCGCCCACATCCAGGGTAGCTGTCGGCTGAGACAGCAGAGTCTCCAGTAGAGCTGACAGACCCACGACTGTATGGGTCACCTGAAAAGGACACTCACGTTATCAATTAGGCTACTATCTATTCAAGAACCCTGAAACACTAGAAGAGTCAATCTCTGCATTATGCTATCTAGTTAGTTGAGTTGAAGTCTTGATGTTAGCTATTGTAATTGTTCCGACTTTCGATACGAAATAAACGTAATATTTGTGCTCGGGGTGGGTTTTTTTTCTTCAGACAAATTTCGACTTTTTAACTAGCCATTTTTGAAAGAATTTTTTTTATATCATTCGAAAAGTATTGTTGTCCTGAGCTTAAATTTGAAAAGATATTTCACCTGTGATCGTTTTTTGTAAAGTTATGAGGGTTTAAAGATTGCCATTTTGACCAATTTGGGACAATTAACGCGCGATATAATTGGCGCTCTTAACGCGTAAGTGGAGATTTAATCCGTCTTACAAATCGTTCCAAATTGGTTGAACGAAGCTTATTTGCCATAATTGATTTATTACAAGGAATGAAATCTATCTTTTTGTACTTCAAATGGCGTATGGGGGGATGATTTTCATAAAAAATTTCAAATTTGAAAAAAAAATTTCATTTTGTTTTATTTCATTTAAGTTTTTATGTTATTACTGCTGCTCCATAAACCTTAAAAGACAGTCAGAACATTCAGGGCTTCGCCCTGATACGAGCAGTCTTGTTGTTCCGACTTTCGATACGAAAGTAACGGAATATTTGTGCTCGGGGTGCGTTTTTTTTTTCTTCAGACAAATTTCGACTTCTTAACTAGCCATTTTTGACGGAATTTTTTTTACATCATTCGAAAGCTATTGTTGTCCTGAGCTCAAATTTGAAAAGATATTTCACCTGTGATAATTTTTCGTAAAGTTATGGGGGTTTAAAGATTGCCATTTCGGCCAATTTGGGACAATTAACTCGCAATATATTTCGCGCTATTAACGCGTAAGCGGAGAGTTAATCCGTCTTAAAATCGTTCTAAATTGGTTGAAAGAAGCTTCTTTGCCATAATTGATTTGTTACAAGGAACGAAATCTCTCTTTTTGTACTTTATATGGCGTGTGGGGGGATGATTTTCATTAAAAAATTTCAAATTTTAGAAAAAAAAATTTCATTTTATTTTTATTACATTTAATTTTTTGATGTTATTACTGCTCCATAAAACCTTAAAAGGCAGTCGGAACATTCAGGGCTTCGCCCTGATACGAGCAGTCTTGTTTAAATATGAAACTAAACTATCTGGTAGTGGATATGAATTCCGATGTGGCCATGTCAGTTTGACTCAAAACCAACCTATACTTTTCTCAAGTGAGCTCTAGGTATTTTTGAAGTCTCTTTCACTCTCTGCCAAAAATAATAATTCAGTTCGAACAGCTGTTAGGCCGGCCTCCCCATGTCCACCTATTAAATCTAACCGGAATATTCATTAACAAAATTCCGGATAAATCGTTGAGAATTCTCTGTACCGAACAGTCTCTGTGCCGAATATTCGTCCAACCAAGAAACTTATCAGGCTGAAATAGAAACGCTATGGCAAAATCATTATTCCACAACATGCTTAGTGGTCGTCGAGGAGACTTTTTAAATTTCCCATTGAAATGATACCGATCTAATCGCTGCACACATGACCAGTGATTAGATCCTGAGCTATCTGCTGGCAGATAAAGAATCCCACCGTATGCATTCGTCTATGCAGTACGAAGAGAGAAAGGATTAGAAAACTTTTAAAAAGAAGCAAGGAGAGGCATCATCGGCAGCAGCGAGCATAATAGCGGAACCATTACAAAAAAAAACGGGGCTCTCAAACAGAACAAATGGACCGGGTCATTTTGATAAGGTAAGTAGACAAGGCGATATGAATGAGAACCAAGCGTGAGGCGACAACTATCAAAAGTTACAATTGTTCGACAGCAAAAAATTACACTTTTTTGAAAAGGCAACGATTCGCGGTGGGTGACTATTCGTACTAGAAGAAAGTTAGCAGTTTTTAATTGAGGCGATTAAATACCAGCTGAAATACCAGATTTCTGATACATTTGATCGAAAATTGAGGAGACTAAAAAGCGCTACCGAATTATGTACAAATATACCTAGGTTTTTGAATTGCTACGCAAATATCTTATAATTGCGTCTTGTCAAATGTCTCTGCAAATCACCATAAGCCAGCGCGGGAACGAGCAATTTGTTCTTGATAGATAAACGTTCAATAAAAACTAACACAATAACGTTACAAATAGAACCACAGGGAGGTGCAGTAAAAAGCGTTGTTAAACATCAGAAAATATTATCAACGATGAGATCATACACAAAAACTGCGAGCATAGTCACGAAGTTATTGTTCCGACTTTCGATACGAAAGTAACGAAATATTTGTGCTCGGGGTGGGTTTTTTTTTCTTCAGACAAATTTCGACTTTTTAACTAGCCATTTTTGACGGAATTTTTTTATATCATTCGAAAGGTATTGTTGTCTTGAGCTCAAATTTGAAAAGATATTTCACCTGTGATCTTTTTTTGTAAAGTTATGGGGTCTCAAAGATTGCCATTTCGGCCAATTTGGGAAATTAACGCGCGATATATTCCGCGCTATTAAAGTGTAAGCGGAGAGTTAATCCGTCTTAGAAATTGCTCCAATTTGGTTGAAAGAAGCCTATTTGCCATAATTGATTTGTTACAAGGAGCGAAATTTATCCCTTTGTACTTTTTATGGCTCGTGGGGATGATTTTCACAAAAACTTCAAATTTTCGAAAAAAAAAATTCAATTTGTCTTATTGTTCCGACTTTCGATACGAAAGTAACGGAATATTTGTGCTCGGGGTGGGTTTTTTTTCTTCAGACAAGTTTCGACTTTTTAACTAGCCATTTTTGACAGAATTTTTTTATATCATTCAAAAGGTATTGTTGTCCTGAGCTCAAATTTCAAAAGATATTTCACCTGTGATCATTTTTCGTAAAGTTATGGGGGTTTAAAGATTACCATTTTGGCCAATTTGGGACAATTAACGCGCGATATAATTCGCGCTATTAACGCGTAAGCGGAGATTTAATCCGTCTCAGAAATCGTTCCAAATTGGTCAAAAGAAGCTTATTCGCCATAATTGGTTTGTTACAAGGAGCAAAATCTATCCTTTTATACTTTGTATGGCGTGTGGGGGGATGATTTTCATAAAAAACTTCAAATTTAAAAAAAAAAAAATTTTTTTTCACTTTATTTTTTCATACGTTTAATTTTTTAATGTTATTACTGCTCCATAAACCTTAAAAGGCAGTCGGAACATTCAGGGCTTCGCACTGATACGAGCAGTCTTGTTAACTAACAAAAATCATTCAACAGCGCGACAGTTTGGAGCGAGTTTCTACCGGGGGCAATGGGCGACCTCTAGAAAATTTAAAGTTGGTGGGTTTAAAAAACTAATTTTTTGAAGTCGAGGGGTTATTTTGTGGTGGGATTAAGAATTTTTTCCGTCAGGTTGTTCATTTCAATTTTTTCAAAGTCAAACGTGAAATCTCATCTCAGCTCACTCTTGAGCCACCTCGGTCTTTTTACCTTGAACAAAGAGTGGAAATTAACAAAGAGAACGTTGTAAAACTGTCTAAACGAAAGTCTCACGCAAGAACAATTCGACGGCAAAAAAAATTTGCTTCAGCCCCCAAGACTCAAAAAGTAATACCAATCCCACATGAACTGTCCCTCACCTTTGTTGGGGAAATTTCGTGCCCTGACGACTACGGTTAATATCTTCTTTTTTTTCGGAATGGACGAGAACCTGACAATGTTAGATTTTAACAGCGCATGGCAGGCTGATGGAACACATAAAGCCTCTTCATCGCTATTCCTCTGTATTATCACTTTTCATGCTGTAGTGAACAAGCAAAGAGTATCATTAGTCTACTTTTTCAAACAAAAATAGCGAGGATCAATTTATTCACGAATTTGACAACTGAAAGAAAAGAATTATTCAATTTTAGAGTCATCGCAGACTGTGGTGAATTTTGAAAAAACTTCTATCAATGCCTTTCAATAAAAATTCTGTGGGAGGTCTACTCAATGGGTGCTTTTTCATTTCGCTCAAGCAAACTGGCGCAAAACTAAGGAACATGGGCTGGCTCCCACTTGCAGATTGATCTTACTGGGACAGTTGAATATTTTAAGTTGAATCTTTATGACAACCAACCGTGACCGTGGGGGGCTGGTCAGTTTTTTCAGAATTAGTGGACCCAATTCAAAAACGCAAGGAATGGCCGACAGAAGACTAAACATCCAGTAGAAGGCTGGCATGGAGCCTTTCAAAGTAAAATTAATTGCGCTTATCTGGCCATACATAAGTTTATTGAGTTCATGCGAAAAAAATCAGAGCATGACCGGCAACAAAGTTGCTCGATTTCAAGTAAAGAGATTGATACTAAAATAACAAAATATGAAAAAAAAACAATCTCGATTGATCGAACTTCTGAAAAAAATACCTAAACAGTACATTTTAAAGCAAATTGAAGGATTATCTTATAACTTTACTAGATTACGTGTTGTTGTTTCATTGTTAGAATTCTAAATGTTACTGATCAAATTTATTTGTCGATACTAAATGTTCCTTAGGTGAAATAGTCGCTCTCTTCTAATCAACGCTTTTTTTAATCCTACGGTTTGTCACTTTCGACCTTTTGTCGCTTTTGACGAGTTGTCGCCTTGCCGATCCAAGAGGAGACAGAACAGAAAGAAACGCGGAAAACGCCGAAAAACTTGATACGGATCTCATAGCTTACGCGAAGTATACCCATGCAGTAGGATTAATTCCAGAGAGCAGCAGCATGCTCACGGACGATAGTGACACAAATTCCATGCAACTCGACGAGGCACCAGTCAATGATTTTACGGCAGTTGGTTTACGATGACACCTATCACGCGCTTGATCTGAGATAGGAACTCGTCTCGAGGAACTGGGATACACACATGGGATCATAGGAACTGGGTTAAAAAACACCGTCGCTCTGAAATATCATAGTCCTGATTGGATCAAAAGAAAAG